CCGACAGTCTTAACGCCCTCCCTCACGAATCCCCCCCCCCCCCCCCCCCCGACGAGCTACGACCCTAAGGAAGTCTTTTGGTGCGTTTCCCATGACATCCCCTTATATCTGTTTCCTCTTTGCCATTTGCAATATTCCCCATGGCCTGGCTCCCTGACCCACCCTCCCCACCCACTGACCGTGCACCCCCTTTTCCCTCCCTCTTCTTTCCTCTCCCTTCCTCTCCTTCCTCTTACTCCCTCTCCCGTCTATTTTCCCTTCTTCCCCCTCTTACCCTCTTCCCCATCTCTCGTTTTCCCTGCCTTCCCTCTTCCAACTTCCCTCCACACCCCTTCTTTCCGCCTCCCCTAACCCCCCTCCCCTCTCCTACCCCCCCTCCCGAGCCTCCAAAAGCGGGCACCGGGCAAGAAGGGAATGTGCGACCTCATGACCTAAGTTTCGTCATTACTTCCTGGAGAGAGAGAGAAGAAGAGGAACAAGAATAAGAATAAGATTAAAAAATAAGAATAAGAATAAGAAGATGAAGAAGAAAAAATAGGGGAAAAGAAAAGAAAAGAAGAAAAAAAAACAGCGGAAAAGTCAAAGTTCCTCTGCCATGCGCACGTTAAGATCCATAAACACCAAAAATGAAATCCGTTCTGCGCATGACTTGTTAACCCTGTGCCGCACTGGTTTTTAAAACAATAAAAAAATCGTTGTTCTTTTTTTCTCTCTCTCTTCTCTCATAAATCTCATTGCCAGTTAGTTTTTTTTTTCATCCTACTTATCACATGAATACAAAACAAACCGTAGCCTACAGGTGCGACAGTCTCCCCCCCCTCCCCCCCTGACCAACCAATGATTCTCAAACTCCGCCCCCAGCCCCCCTCAGAGATCAGCAAGAAGCTATACGGAATTGTAATGTATTAACGACTAATTCATTAAAAAAAATAATAATAAAAAATAAGAAATAAAAAAAAACATTCATAACTGCCGAACAGCTGAAACTACATTTACACTTTGGAGCCGGACTAGAGATCGAGCAGCATATACAATCACCGATCACTTTTTCTTTCTGTGAGAGAGAGAGAGAGAGAGAGAGAGAGAGAGAGAGAGAGAGAGAGAGAGAGAGAGAGAGAGAGAGAGAGAGAGAGAGAGAGAGAGAGAGAGAAAGGTTGGAGACCAGAGGAGAACGGGATATACATAAAAAAAAGAAGAAAAAAAAAAAAACGACAGAAAACATACAGACTGAGAAACACCGAGGCGCCCCCCCTTCTCCTGAAGCAGTGACCGAACCGATCAAATCAAGATTCTTCCAGGGTGTCACTGTCGCTTCACCCCCTCCCCCCCTCCCCAATAACACTAAAGGGTGCAATTCCCACGGTGATAAAAGCTAAGCCTACGACGCAACACAGCTGGTTATCGCATCGTGCATATATCATAGCTCGCAGAATTAAATGGTATTTCGAAGTTTCTCGAACACAATGGCCGCCCTGAATACTGATACGGCAATCTCTTGACATGCTTGAAAGCTTCGGATTGGGGAAAATATAAAAGAAAATACATATATAAGAAAATACATACAATATTAAAGCTTACGTACGATATATAAGAAAATACAATATTAACAACAAAAACGATCATGTCTTTAAGATTATTAATCTTTCAGTTTTCAAATGCAATTAGGATTTTGTGCATGCATAAAGAGAGAGGGGGGATGTGGGGAGGGAGGGAGGGAGAAGGGATGCGTGAACGACCGTGATAAAAAATTAAATATAATCTAGTCTACAAACTCTACAATTAATAGATCATTTACAGATGCTAATTACGTGGGAGCATATCATACAAATATCAGTCTCTATTCACATTGTATCAACAGGCTCCGTTAGATCTGTGCATAATACAATTAACGCAAATACGACTTATTAAATAAATTTATTCGCTAATTCTTTGTTTTCCAAACGAATGGACAAAGACTACCGCTCTATAAGTATCTCGAATTTCATACTGAAGTTTCACATCTAGGGCACGCTACAGTCTTATAAAATCTATATATACTACAAATCATATTTCGTATGAAAGAGAGAGAGGGAGGAAGGGAGGGAGGGGAGAGGGGAGAGGGAGAGAGAGGGAGAGGGAGAGGGAGAGGGAGAGGAGAGAGGGAGAGGGAGAGGGAGAGGGAGAGAGGAGCGAGGAGGAGGAGGGAGAGAGAGTGAGTGAGTGAGGAGTAGTGAGAGAGAGAGAGAGAGAGGGTAAGAGGGAGAGAGGGAGAGAGGGAGAAAGGGAGAGAGAAAGAGAGCGAGAGAGAGAGTAAAGTATTTGAAGGCAATCTGATATGTAGTGCTCTAGTGATCTGCCTTACCCTTCTACCCATGCATTTATTCACTCATTCATTTACTAAGCTTTTATTCATATACTATTTTTCCTTTCTTTCTTTTTTTTTGCAAAGCCGGTAACCACAGCTGTCATTCAAGCTGTCAGTCCATCAAGTCGACCCCTGCGCGAGGAACATTTCACACTT